TAAATAAGGGTTCATAGAACTCGATTTCAATTTTTCACTCAGTTTTACGTGGCTTACATTGTCAAATGCTTTGGAAAAGTCCATTGCAATTAATCTCACTGCATCACAATTTGGTTCTTCTAGTGCTTTCAGGTACATATACTGTAATTTAATTAAGGCGTCTGTGCTACACCCACCGATTCGATAAGCAAACTGGGAAGATGATAATTCAGCCTCGAAAGATCTTTTACTATGATAATGATAAACCGTTCTTTCGAAGCATCGTCCAATCACAGGTGTGACGTTTATACCTCTAAATTCACAATATTCCTTTGGATTCTCAACTTTTGGTAGAGGGTCTATATGAGCAATTTTCCAAGAGGTAGGCCATGTGGATGTAGAGAGAGATTCATTCCAAATCTTGGTCATAACAGGTGCAAATACATCAGCGTTTTCTTTCCATACCCAAAATGGGATTTCATCAGGGCCTGTTGCGGTTTTCCTTATTTTCAACAAAGCGTTCTTGACCTGGGTTATGCTAAACTGAGGAGCTTTTATTGTGTTTGAATCTATCTCCATCAACGTTGGCTGTTCATAGTCTCTATCCCAACATAACTCTCCAAAGTAATCGTTCAAGTTTTCTTTGAACTCGTTGTCAAGTATAATATGTGTTCGATTTCTTCTATGTGACAAAAAGTCAACGTTTTTCCACCATTGACTTGTGCCAGTACACTCGGATTTTGCCATTTTTGTTTGATTATGTGAAATTATTCCAAATATTCGTTCTGTTAATTCTGCCGCAATAGATAGCTTTCTCCTTGACTTAGCCTTTGATCTTTTTCTTATTAAGTACTTTAAGAGTGGAGACATCCATGGAGGGTCACGAGTGGAAAGAGTAACTGTTTTCTTTGGAAAATATTGATCTATCATATTGTGGATAGTGTTCTCCAATACTTTAGTTGCTTCTTCAACTGTTTCCAATGACGTAACTTCAGACCAACTTTTCTCGGCAAGCTTCTTTTGAAATTTGACTTTATTCTGTGCTCTGTAGTCCCTAAAGCTGATTTTAGTGCGGAGGGGCTTCAATTTATTCCTGCCGGGATTATGACTCCCAAATGGTCTGTTTTCATTTGTATATGCAATGGGTATGCTTTGTTGAAAAGTTCCGGTCTATTTGTAAAACAGTTATCAAGAATTGCTTGCCCTCTTGTGGGAAAGTCTACCAAAGGCAACATGCCAGACATTGTGGAAAGTTGACTAACGTTTAGATGATTAATATCTCCAATTAATGGCGCAATAAGAATAAAATTACCACCGTTCGATTCAGCGTAAGAAATTGTACTTAGGGCCTGTTCATATGATCCCGCTTACCGGGACGTCTCGCTTACCGATGATCTCGCCGCCTATCTATTTTCCTATAAAATTTTGCATTGTGTTCATATGAGAAAGCGAGCTGGCCCGCTTGCCGAGATCTCGTTTGAATTTGCCGAGATCATAGGTAGGCGGGATGAAAATTTTCCATATGAACACGCCAGCCCGCTTACCGGGATGAAGTGAAACAAGTCTTGCCGGTTTAATTTAACACTTTTTACTTGGTTTTATGTTTGTTTTGTAAACAAGTACTAAATAACCACCTGAAGCAATACTTTTTCTTGTAAATAAACGAAGAAAAACACTAAAATCGCTAAGTATTTGTATTGCTTGACTGAAATGTAGAAGTTTTGCATACGCTAATTATAGAACTACAATGTAATTTCATCTCGGCAAGCGGGACGAAATACTCCATATGAACGCACGGAAATATTCGTCTCGGTAAGCGAGACGTCCCGGTAAGCAGGCCCTTATACGAATGATAAATTGTACCTACGGATGTCAATTGTATTACTAAACAACTGACAACAGTATTCTAGCGATTTATGGCCTTTGCCTTTGAAAGCCAAGCGAAATTGTATTATTTGTTGACAAACCGCTCAAATTATAAAAAATGCAGTACGTTTGATCCTTGATAACTTTGGCATCGTTGGTTTTCTCTTTTTCGGCCGTATACCAGTGGATTCGTCTCACTTCTCTCTTCATTTTGATAATATTTTGAGCCCCAAAGCCCCAAAATGTTTTAGTTTGGACGTTTTAAACTGGCGGCCGACAGAAGAATGTAGCGTACTATAAAATATAACTTTACTTGGGGAAAGTACAAAACATGGACCCCCGGTCCATGGACCCCCCTATGGCCGGGTCCATGGACCCCCCCTATGGCCGGGTCCATGGACCCCCTCCATGGACCGGGTCCACGGACCCGCGATTTCTCAATGGCCCCATCTATGAATGAATGTTAACAGGGATTTTGAATACACCTGAATATAAATAACCATGTACAGGGAGAAAACAAAATTACTTGCAAGGTCAAAATGTTCTATTAATTTGTTCCAAATAACACTTATACATCCAGCTAACTAGTGCACAGCTCACGAAAATGTATTAATCGAAGTAAATCAAATTGCTGATTAAGTGCCTTTTGACCACTTTCATAAGAGACGAATTGAAACACTTTTTTGTATGTTGAACTAAGAAGGCTAATTAACCCATTGAGTCGCATTGCACCCTGATGCACCCTACTTTAGTATTTTACTCTGTCTAACGCCAGACGATTTTACTCGTCAAGGGGAGAGCGCTGGCGCTTAATGGGTTAAGATGCACAATCAATGAAAGATTGAAAGTGGTTTAATATTTCAACACTCAGTGCTGGCAGTGGTTTCTTTAATTTCATATAGACTGTGATCATTGACCGCAGGGGCGAAACTAGCCCCTTTTAATTAGGGGGGTGTCGCTAGAATTGCCCTGCGAAAGCCGATGATTCCCTGCAGCAAAAAATTTTGGGGGCACTATTTCTCCCAAAAAAGTTGGCGAGCGTGGGGGGGAGGTCGAAAAATTTTTTTCTGGACATTCAAAAAAGGGGCAAAAAAAATTTTCCGGACATAAACCGGTTAAATTAAGGGTCAAAAAAAATTTTTCGGACAAATTCCTGTTAAAACATGCATGAAACCCTTATTTTTTTACCAATATCTGTAAAATTTATGTCTATAAATTCTATTCAATTCTCCCTGGAAGCTACTTAATAACTCTACATTCTATCATATAAAATCTTTCATTGCCCTGCCAATCCAGATGATTTGCCCTGCCAATCCAGATGATTTGTACTTTGGGGGGGGGGGGG